TCCCCTGAGATCTGAACACCCGTCTCCCCCTCTCCACCACGGGGGGGTGTCTCAGCCACCCCGCACCCCCAGCACAAAGCGAGGCACAAGTGCTATTTACAAAGTTTATTGGTAGAAACCTTCATAGCAGAAAGACACTGGCGCCTGTCCCCTCCCCTGGGGTGGCCCCCAGTTCCGCCGTATCCCCCCCGTTACTTCCCCCCCCATGACTTAAAAAAACAAGGTAAAAAAGATAAAAGCTTCTCTGTACAGGGCGGGAGGGATCCGGCCTCCCAGAGACGGAGGGGAAGGTCCAGGGGGAAGGGGGGTTATGGGGGCATTTGAGGGTTAACTGGGCAGGACCTGGCCCCCCACGAAGGCATAGTGGGGGTGGGTCTCTTTGGCCATGGCAGATGCTGGGAGGGGGGAGCGCCGCCTGCTGGCAGCTGGGGGGGGCGGGAGGAGGCTCCAGCCGGCAAAGCTTGGGGGGGGGGCAGGAAGGTTCCAGTGTCGTGGGGCAGCCCTGAGTTAGACAGAAGGTTGGGGGGGGACGGAGGCTCCCCCCGGCTATTTGGCAGCCTTGGCCTCCAGCACCGCGATGCGTCGCTCCTGCTCCGCCACCATCGCCTGCAGCTGCCGCACGTCCTCAGTCAACTTCTCCAGCGCCTGGGGAGGGGGAGAGCTCGTGTGGTGCCCCTCACTCCCGACCCGCAGCCCCTGCCGGCCCAGCCCTGGGGTCCCCTCCCCCAGCTCCACCGGTACCCCTCACTCCCGACCCGCAGCCCCCCCTTGTCTCACCCCAGGGCTGCCCCCATCGGAGCAGGTCTGGCTCCGGCGTGGCTCCAGGATGCTCTTGTTGACTTTAAACTCGCGGCTCTTGGACGGGACGTATCCGTCCTTCAGGGAGATGAGCAGGGGACCGGCGTCCTTGCCCCCGAACCATTCTTCTGCCGTCAGGGCGGGGTCAGGCCCGGCCGTGTCGGGGTACAGGTCCTCCTGGAACAGGTCTGACTGTGGGAGGAGAGAACCAGCATCGGTCCCAGGCGTCCGGGCTCCCAGACCCTCCCCGGCCGGGATGGAACCCAGGCGTCCGGGCTCCCAGCCCGCCCGCCCCCTCCCCCCCGGCTCACCTTGCGGGGCACCGTCATGGCAATGGGCTCACATCTGCGCTCGTGGAGTTTGTAGAATCTGAAATGCGGAGGGAAGGGGGGGTCAGGAAGGCAGGAGGGGTCTCTTGGGATTCCGGTAGTGGAGGGGATTGGGGGGCTGAGTGGTGGGGTTAGATATTTGGCTGTTTTCTCCCTGTGCCGCCCTCGAGCGAACCACCCAATGACCACAAGATCTGTTAAGGGACGAAGGCGCCAGGCCAGGTTCATTGTCAGCGAGGCAGGTCCTGGGATCCCGCAGACTCGGCCAGGCCAATAACACAGGGAGCAGCTTGGTGAAGGGCGGGACTTTCGCTTCCCCCTCAGCCAGCCAGAGACACTCCCTTAGAGGCTCCATTTTATACATCGACACAAACCGGTTACGTGCTGGCCCCCTGCCGGAGCCGGCTCCCACCCTGGGGGGGTCAGTGCGTCCCTGTTCTCTTCGAGGGGGTGCTGGGGGGTTGTTGTTCGGGTCCCACTCATCTGGGAGGTGGGCGCGAGTGTCCTGGGCCCAGCAGCTCTCAGGAGGATTCCCCCAGCCTGGCTCTGCTTCGGCGCCGCAAAGCTTCGAGCCCTGCAGCCTCTGGTACACGGGCTTGTGTCTCAGGGTCACTTCCAGCCACACGGGGGGGGTGGGCTTCTGGGGGGCTGAGGAGGATTTGGGGGGACTGGAGGAGGCTGGGGTTTGTGGGGCTGCTGGGGTCTGAGGGGAATCTGGAGGTTTCAGGGAGGGTTGGTCTGGGGAGCTTTGGGTGGGTTCTTGGAGTTCAAGGGGTATTTGGGGGGCTCAGGGATTGTTGGGGGTCCAGGGGGCTGAGGGGGTTTTGGGTGTCC